CCGCCCCCTCCTGTTGAGCGATGCTGCTTCTTCAAGGTGTGTTTACAGTGGAATGTTCCATGTGTGGCTGAAAGAGGGAGATGCACAGAGGACTATAAGTCTTGGGCAGGGCAGGGGCCTTGACTTCTGCAGGGTGTGCCCGAGGGATGGGGCCCTGCTTGGGTTCCCTGAGATGTGGCAAAACGAGGTGTAAGGGCAAAGGGTGTGGCTCCATTGTGCAATCATGTTTGGGTTTGGACATTGGCCAGAGTTGCTAGTTGCTGTGGTTGCCTCTAAGTCAAGAGATGAGGGGAGAGAGAGAGAAAGAAAGGAAAGAGAGAGCATGAATGGGTGACCAGGCAAGACAGAGATGGGAAGAGGTGTTCTGCTCTGGGAACATATGTTCCCACTTCCCAGGTAAAACTAGAGGGGTGTTGAGGAAGCTCAAATTGGGGCCACAGCTGCCCCAGGCCCTCTATGGAGGGTGTAGGTGTGGAGGTGTCTTTCACCCTAGGATTTGTCACATTTGGTCTCCACTGTCCCTTCAGGATGAATTCAGTTGCTTCAAAGTTCAGCAAGCCATTTCCCTGACTTTGGTTGAATTTTCAACGCTCAGTACAGCATAGTTACTGGCATGGCAGACAAGTGAGGTGACCTCAGGACCTGAGGTTGGGAGCTGCCAAGGGCCCCTTCCTCCCTCTTGACAGGCCTTGGGAGGGGCCCAGGAGTGGTGCAGGATTTGGGTGTGTGTGTGTGTGTGTGTGTGTGTGTGTGTGTGTGAGGGAGTTGAAGCAGGGCAGCCGTGATGGACAGTCCCAGTCTCCCTTGGGACTGGGCTGCAGGGGGTGTCAGCCACAGGTCATGCTGTCCTGCCCTTTGCCTCCAGACAGACAGGCACCAGGGCCTCACCAGGGGTTTCAGGGACTTCAAGGGAAGACCTCTCCCTGGTCGGTGACCATAAGCTGCTTTGAGGAGCCAGAGAAAGTCTTTGTGTTGGACGCGTGGTCCCTGGTGACAGGGTTATGTGGATGTCCAAGCCCAGACACAACACTAGCTGGGATTTTCCAGCATTTGGGAGGTAGCCATCACTGACATATGTTCCTGGACATTTCAGGGATCTGGAGTTTGCTACCCAAGGTGGTCAGGTCTCTGGGACTCATGAGGAAAGGCTGCAGGGCTGGGGTGTCAGTGCTACAATTTGAGGGCTCAGGTCCTGGTGTCCGACTGGCGGAAGCTGCAGTGGTTTGGGTCCCCAGGCCCAGAGGCTCGCAGCTCCCTAATACGCTAGCTCCTCCTGGGGGTCCGAGCCATACAGCTCGGCCAGCATCTTGAACCTGGGCCCCCAGTCGTTGAGGAAGTCGTAATCCACATCTGAGTCAGAGGAGTCGGTGCCCAGGGAGCTGAGGGACTCGGCGATGGACTCGGAGCCCTCATAGCCATAGATGTGCAGTGTGTCGTAGGGCGGGCCGCCACCATCGTGGTCAGCCTCGTCTTTCTTCACCTCTATCACAGCGGCCATATCTCCGGGTCCCCCGTGCACGGTAGGGGGCGTGCGCCGCGGGGGCTTCTGCGCCTGAGCATATATGGATGGCCTTGCGTCCAGCCCGGGCCTTGGAGGCTTAGCCCCGCCGTGGCGCACCGAGTTGAGCACCGACACGTCGTAGCTGGTGGTGTCCATCTCGCCGCCGCCCTCTTCGTCGTAGGTGACCAGCTGCTCGTGGATCTCCGGCACACTCTTGCCGTGGGCGCGGGCCTGCTTCCGGAGCCGCCGCCGCAGGAAGATAAGGAGGGTGATCACTGCGAGCGAGTGAGCAAGTGAGGCAGAGAGAGTTAGACCAGGTGCAGCTGATGGGTGGTCCCCACCCTCTGGGGGTCACTGCGCGCTTCCCTCCTCCCTGGGAATTCCGGGACCAGCCCAGATTCCATGTGACACCCAGGCCATCACAGAAGGTTTGGTTTGGTCTGGACACCTGGTGGGTCCCCCATCTCCCACCTCCATAGTATCCCCCACCCTGCTCCCGTGTATCCCTGACTGGATGTCGTGGCCACTGGTGGGGGTCGGGGGAGAGGTACAGAGTGGACCTCCCTCAAGTTCATTCTCTTCTGCCAGTCTCAACCCCATCTATCTGCAGCCTCATTCCCTCCCTCCTCATACCACTGTGGTAAATCCTTCTCTGTCACGTCCAAAGTGGAAGGCCGAAGGTGGGGCCAGAAATGGGGACAGGAATGGAGTTGGAATTTGGAGTGCAAAGACTGATCCATTGCTTCGTTGACAGCTATGATGATAATAATGCATAACAGTGGTGCTGGCAGACATGGCACTCATTGCAGTAGCAGTGAGCACCTACTGTATACGTGCTGGCCTGATACTGGCACATTCCCATGTTATCTCACTCCAGGTAAGTGTTTTTATCCCATTTTACAGGTAAGCAAAATGGGCGCAGAGAGGCTGAGTGAGGTGCCCAAAGCACCATGGAAGGCAGCAGTGTAGATGTCGACACTGATGAAAGCTCAGGGGTGTGGATGTGTGAGGTGACCAACCCCCCAAGGAGGGGTGGACTGAGAGCTCCTAAAATTAGACTCAGATCACCCCACAGGCTCTGTCCTTCTAGTCTTGAATTAGCTAATAAACTGTTACATACATAAGTAAAGTTGAGGTGCTCTCTTTGAGCCTCAGTTTCCTTGTCTGTAAAATGGAAATGATGATTTTTCTGCTCTGTTTATATTTGGTCAGGTGGTTATAAGGTTAGTGCAATTCTGTGTGTGGTGTCACGCCATTATCATTATTATTGTTATTATTATTTTTAAATATTTTATTAGGGAATTGGGGGAGGGAACAGCGTTGGGGAATTGGGGAAGGGGAACAGACAAGTTGCTGCCCTTTTGTTTTTCAGTCTAGTTGTGGAGGACGTCGCTTCACTGGCCCATGTTGGTTTTGTGATTATTGCGCTCTTCCTGGGTGAGGCAGATCAGTCGCCGGCCATTGGATGGCCGCTCACGCTGGCTGCTGGCCGCTTATGCTGGTTGCCAGCCACTTATGGTAGCTCATGGCAGCCCACTGCAGCTCCACTGCAGCCTAAGCCGTCACTGGCGACTCACGGCAGCCCAGCTCCAGGTCGAGCTGTTGTTCACCATCTTAGCTGTAGGGGGCGCAGTGTCACTGGCCTATGTGGGATCCGAACCAGCGGCCCTGCTGCTCAGAGCTCGCGCTCCCAAGCCAACTCTTAACCAACGAGCTATTCGGCCAGCCCATTGTTAACTATTATTAAGAGAGGAGGGCTGGCTGAGTGGCGCGATGGTTAAGAACTGGCTTGGGATGCCAGAGGGCCCCGGTTCGGATCCCACATATGAGGGCCAGTGACACTGCCCTCCACAGCTAAGATGCTGAACAACAGCTCAACCTGGAGCTGGGCTGCCGTGAGTCACTGGTGACGACGTAGGCTACAGCCCCTGTGGCAGTGGGTTGCCATGGGCTACTGTATGTAGCCAGCAGCTAGCATGAGCGGCCAGCAGCCGCAGTGAGCGGCTGTCCAAAAGCCGGCGACTGATGTGCCTCGCCCGGGAAGAGTGCAATGATGGTGCCAACTTGGGCCAGTGAAGCAACGTCCTCCACAACTAGACTGAAGAACAAAACGACAGCAACTTGTCTGTTCCCCTTCCCCCAATTCCCCAGCACTGTTCCCATCCCCCCAATTCCCCAATAAAAATCTTAAAAAAAAAAAAAAGAGGAATCTGGGTCTGGACTTTCTGCCACAGAAGCACCCCAGAAGGGAGGCACATTCAGGGGGCATTTTAGGAGCCACTGGCAGGAAAGGCCTGGAGCAGAGTATGTAGGTGCCTCACCATCTCCCCATTTCCTGTCACTGTAGTGCATAGAGTGATCTCTCACCACCTGAGGGTGTCCTCTGGAGGACAGGCCCCTGCCCCATCTCATGGCAAGTGAAGTGCAGAAGAATTTTTGCCTCTCGGAGGAGTCCCCAACCATCAGCTGGTGGGAGTTGGTAGACAAACTCTGGCTGTGAGTGCCACATTACCTCCCAGTCCCCAGTGGGAGGAAGCTCCTGTGACTCACAGTGGTAATTTGGGTGACAAGGCCCCTTCATTGGCTGCCTCCTTTCCTCTTCTCACACCCCATCTACCTTCTGGGGCCTCCTGGGAGCATCTCCCAAGTAAACCACCTGCACCCCACTCATTGTCCCAAGGTCTGCTTCCTGGGAACCCAAACTAAAGGCAAGGCTTAAAATGCTCCTAAAATTTCAGAGTCCCAAACAAGAAAGAAAGAGATTTCAAAGCTGGAGGGATCCTATGAAAGGAAACAAGTCTCCTGGATATAATCTAAACTAGAAGTTTTGAGACTTTTCTACTTCTTTCCAAAAGTGTCTTCTGTTTTCAAAATAGGTTTATATAAATAAATGCCTAGAACAGTGGCTGGCACACAGTAAGTGCTCAAAATATAAAAGTCGAATAAGTGGATGTCATGTATACAGTATTTTGAAGTGGGGTTCAAGTCCTCTCCTCCTCCCTGGTCCACCCACCCCCAACCCTTAGGCACCCAGGGAGGTAGAGCTGGCCTTCCTGTGTCCCACTCTAAACCCAGGGGCCCGCGTTGGGGTCCTGGCCCAGGGTTGGGTCTTGGCCTCTTCTTCCTCTGGTGCGGCTTCCTCAGTGTCCCCTCCCTGCCCTCCGGGGCACTGACCTGTGATGGTAAGGATGCAGAGGAAGATGGCTACCAGCGCCTGGATGCTGACGCCCACCTGGTAGGCCACCTCCTCACAGAAGGTGAATTCGCCGTGCTCGTTACACTTGCACACTGTCACAGCCAGCGTGTTGGTGCTTGTGAGGCTCGGCCGCCCATTGTCCGAGATGAGCACGGGCAGGTGGTGGACCTTGGTTCGTTCCCGGTCAAACTGCCCGTACTTGACCGTGATATTGGCTGTGTTATCTGGAAACAACAAGGCTGCAGGGTCAGGCTCTGCTGCCCAGAGTGCCTGTCCCCTCCTCCACACTGATGGTGTGGCCTGCCTCCTCCAGGGAGCCCTCTCTGACTGTGCTAGCCCACGTGCTGCCAGGGCTGCCTCTGGTCCCTTTGCGTCCCCTGCCTCATGTTTCAGCCAGTTGAGTGCAGGTCTGTTCCTCCAGAGAGGGGATATTTTGGGCAGCTCCTTTTGACTTAGTCTCTAAGAATGGGTTGGCCAGAATATAAAATTTTTGCTTCCTGTTTCTGTGGGCACCTGATATGCCTGACCCCTTCTTCCTTCTTAACACTCCTAACTGAGGATTTCTGGGACAGGCTGGCACTGGGACTGTGCTAATTTAGCCCAAATATTGGCTTTCCCTCCCAGCTCCAGTCAATGATTTCATGTATAGGAGAATTCCCCAAGAAGCTTTTTAAACCTGCTGATTTTCAGACCCTCCTTCAGCCCCCCTCACCTCCCTTTCCTCCCCCATTTCTGACTCAGTGGCTTTGGGCAGAGGCCAGATCATCTGCCTTTTGTAGGGTCCCTGGGAGGCTGTGATGGTGATGGTCAGTGGAGAGTCCAAGGACTCCCTGCTCCAGGATTTGGAAGGGGGATTTGACCAGCCATGCAGGGTCTGCCTACTCAGGAAGCCAGCTGACAGCAAAGGAGGCCATCGGTTAGATTTCAAATGAAAGCCGATGACATTTCATTATTAATAGTCGTGTCTATTATAATGGAGCATAAACGATATGACCATTGACATTTTATGGGAGAAATGAGGGCTTTCTCACTGAATCATTTAATACTATAGCAGGATATCCATGTTATAAGTGAATCTGAGACCAACAGGTGTGCCTCCTAGTCGCACATGGGGTGTCTTTTGGGTGGCCCTTAAGCTTTCTACCTCATTGCAGACCCTTTCTGAGGAGGGATTGAGTTGGACCTTGCAGGTGGAGTGACGGGTATTTTTGCCACATTGTTTACTGCGAAAGAGCTGAGTGTTGAATGGTCTGTCATTGACTGTCAACACATCATGACCACCTTGCCCATCCCACAGGAGGCTGTGGCTGAATCCCTGGGTCTACCCCCACTCTCAGGGACCCCACTCCCTGACTTTCCTCAACAGTGACAATGGCTGTTTCTATACAGGTTCCTCATCAACCACAGTTTTGTCAGGGATGGGTAGGGATTCTATCTACCCCATGCTGGGTGAAGGATTTCTCTATTTAGACTCAAGGGGGATGTTTTTTTTTTTTCTATTTTTCTGAGGAAGCTGCTGAAGTCATGGAAGGTTGTCTACTGTTGGCTGGAATTCAATCAACCCAGCATCATCACTTTCCCAACCACATACTCATCGGAAGCTCTGATTGGCCACTGCTGACTCTCTTGGCTGTGATTGGTAGATCAGTTCCTGTTCGAGGCCACCTGGTGGTAAGTAGTTATTATAACTGAATTATGACATTTTTCTCTATCCTTGGCGTTTTGGATTTCACTTTTCTGGTTTTGGCTCTTTGGGAGTGACCTCAAAGTTCTGCAATTTGTAATTGTGCTGAGCACGGAGATCTTGTGTGGGAAGGAACTCTTTGGCTAGTTCATGAACAGAGCACCGCATATCTGTACTGTCTGTACCCCATATCTATTCTGTATGCCTTGCTGACTTAGCATCTTAAGGGGAATGGCAGGCCACATGTGCTTGGCAGTTTGGCCATGGTGGTTCTGACCATTGCACAAACCAATAAGGTACGTGGCAGAAGTTGTACAAAATATTCCGTAATGTGAAAACCCCAGTGAGGACCTGCCCCCAATTGTTGGCTTGGTCCTTGACCCTGGCGCTTCAGGACTCACATAACCCATCCCTGAGCCCTGTAAGAGCCAGGCTGACTACTTCGATGCATACCGTGATTATCTGTGAGGGTGAAGTTGCTGTCCTCGGTGCTCAGGGAGAATTTGAACCTCACATTTCTTGGAGTTATGTCCTTGTCTGTTGCCGAGATTTGCACAACCAGCTGGAGTATGAAAGATGGGGGACAGTCAGTGGTGGTGTTAGGGTGGCCTGGGGGTCAGTGATGGAGATTTTGGGTTAGGATCTGACCATGGCTGCCTCTCCCCTGCAACACTAACCTAAATGATCTCCACAGAGCCACTCTTTGTACCAGCCCCTTCCCCGCCAATCTGTTCTCCATGTATTTTCTTTGGGCCTCAGATTCTCCATCTATAAAGTGGGGATAATGTCTCCTTTCCTTAAGGTTGTTGTGCAGGTTACATTAAGCTAAATGGAATGCAAGCAGACTGTGGATGGGAGGGAGGTGGTATCCCACAGCCTCTCCCAGGCAGGGGCCACCTCCCCCACCCCCCTGAGCCAGACTCACCTTGCCCTGGGCAGCATTCTCACACACTTTGGGATTGTAGGGCTGGGCAAACTCTGGGGCATTGTCGTTCTCATCCAGAACTTCGATGTGCACCTGCACAATGGATTCTTTGCCTGTGGGGGTCCCTGCAGGGGGGGAAAGGACCTGTCACCACAGTGGGCACAGCTGATGCCAGCCCCAGGGGCAGAAGTTGTGTGGCTGGGCATTCCTGGAGGGTTGCCCATTTTGCAGGAAGAGGAGGCTATGGACGTGGAAGAGAGGCCAGGGATGGTGTTCTGGATGAAAGAAGTGGAGGAGGAAGGGGGTCAAGCTTTATGTACAAGGATGCTTACTAAAGAATTACTTGTAAGAATAAAATGGTAAATAACCTAAGTGAATTTTAAAAAGGTTTTAATTAAGTTAATTGGATTAAGTAATTTAAGTAACTAAATTATTAAACTAATCTAACGATTCAATTCAGTAATTGAATTAATTGAAATACATATAATTTATTAAATTAAATCAATTAATTGCAAAATAATTTAAAAGGCAAACAGCCTAAGTGAGATTCAGTTAATAAATCATGCCACTTTATTTTATTTATTTATTTATTTAGCTGAGCCATCCTGCCACCTGTTGGCAGCTCAGCAGCAGCATAACTTGGGCCAGGAATCAAACCGGTGACCCTGTTGCTCATAGCTTGCATGCTGCTTTAAAAGAATGGAATATGTGGCCATTTATAATGCACATATAAATTACATTTATAAAATGTAATTTAAAAAAGACAGTTTAGTATCGTGAGAAAGTGGTTCTGGAATAAGGTTATGAAAAATGCAGGATATGATTTTATAGAAATATTATAAACTTGTATAAAAATAAGTATAGAACAAAGACTAGAGAAGATATACTAAAATGCTAACAGTAGTTGTCTCTGTATGGTGGGATTATGGGGAAATAATTTTCTTCTCCTTTTCTGTGTTTTTTATATTTTAGAATGAACAACAAATTATTGCTTTTAAATTAAAAAAACTGTATGAATGATATTAGTTGGGGAAGAAAGGGGCAAAGATTAATTTGGAAAATATGCAGGAGTCCATCGAAGTTGGCTTGACTGCCAGGTTGGGGGACCCAGCAGGGGGCAGGGGCCCACCAGGATGGTACTTAGTGGGGCTTTGGCCAAGTCACACTGTCTCCAGGCTGGTGGTCTCCTGGGTAAGGTGGACATGTTAATTCTTTTTCTGGATGGGAGTTGTGATTTGCTCTTATAGGCAAAGGATGCAAAACTCCAGCAGTTGCCTTTCTCTCTGGCACAAGTTGCACTAATTTCTAGAGAACCTAACAATCTTGGAGTTGGAAGCTGTGGCAGATTTTGACTTAAACCCACTAACTGGAACATAAACAGGCCCCCAAAGCTGCCTTTTCCAAATGTCCACAATAATAAGAATCATGTGGCCCTTGTTCAATACACTTCCCTTGGGACCATTTCTGGTTCGCTGGACCAGAACCTTCAGGGAGGGGCCTGAGAAGCCCTATGTTAAGAGGTACCCTAGGTCAGGGATCGGCAAACTGCAGCTCGTGAGCCGCATTTAAAGAGCCTCATGTAATGCGTGAGCCGCAGTTTGCCAACCCCTGCCCTAGGTGATTCTCATCACAGGCACATCTGGCAGCCTGTTTGTTAACAGTGCTTCTTAAACTGTAACATGCATGAGTTTCTGATTCAGTCTGGGGCTGGGGCCCGGTGTTCTGTCCTTGTAACAAGGTTTCAGGGGATGTGGATGCTGCTGGTCCATGCACACTTAGGGGTGGAGGTTCTATAGCATCCTGGGCAAGTGGTGCTTCAGCAGGAGCTTGTAATACCTGTAGAGACCCGCAATGACAGATTATGCCAATTTTGAAAGAATGAGAGAAAGGAGAAAAACCCAGGTTCCCTGGCCGATGGGGCCACTCACCTCTAGAATCCAGTTCTTTGGCTTCCACAGTCAGGTTATACCATGGGTAGATTTCTCTGTCCAGTTCTTTCTCATTGTGAATATTCCCCTGCTTGTTTACTTGGAAGAACTGGCCCTTGTCACTGGTCCTGCGGATGAAGTATCTGCCCGGGGGAGAGAGAGTCATGGCTTTCCATTGTTCTTTGCTGAGCTCAAACTCCCAGCACAACAGACGAGGCCCTTCAGGATCTGTCCTTTGCATCCTGCCCCATCCTCCTCTCACTGCTCATTGCACTCTACCATCCAGAGTGGTTCAAAGTGGTGAGATAAACCCTTTGATTTGAGCAGTGTTGCCATCACTGGACTGAGGGTGGTGCCTGCGACTCCATCAATAATAGCACTTTCAGGCAGGTGGCACTATAATCAACCATACCAGGGGTCGGCAAACTTTTGAGCCGGAAGAGCCACCAGGGGTCAGCAATGAGCCACATGCGGCTCTTTGGGTACATACATGTGGCTCTGAAGTAATATTGAAAATGAAAATAAAACTGTCATAGTTTCATTTATAAAATTTTTACAGGATATTATTCACATAATGGTGATTATGTAAAAATATATGTATGGCCCTTGGATAATTTTCAAATTGTTGTGAGGGACAGGATTGGCTCTTCCAAGGGTCGGCAAACTTTTGAGATGGAACGTACCCAAAGAGCCGCATGTGGCTCCCAAGCCGCAGTTTGCCGACCCCTGAACTATACCACAGCTGGGAGTGTTTTTTGTGATTAATGAAAAGATAGTTGGGCAAGAGACAAGAAGAAATAAAAAAGGAGCTGAAATAGATAAGAAGTGAATGAAATAAAATTAAATTTTTGTAGTAAAAATTTGAAAAGTTCTTCCAGAAATCAAGAGCAAAGAGGTATGAAGACATGAAGAAAGAGGAAAAATGTAATTATTTTATATGTATATATATTATATATAGAATATATATATATTTACTACTATTGAAGAAAATTCCAGAACAAATAGAACAGAAGACATAACAAAAGATGTAATAAGAGAAAACTTTTCTGATCTGAAGAAAGTCCCAAGTCTACTGATTAAAATAGGTCATTGATATTAGGCATAATTTAAAAAAGAGATCAATATTTAGGCATATCCTGATGATACCTTTGAATTTCAAATACGAAGAATGTGAAAGGAGTCTAGACAGAAAACAATGCATTTTTATAAAGAGAAATCAGACTCACCCCAGAAAGTCCCCACAAAATTAAATGCTAGAACACATTGATAGTATTTTTGGAGGGAAGTGTCTATAATCTTAGGATTATATGAACACATCTAAGTGTTATTAACATAAGAAGGCAAAAGAACTAATGTATTTGTAAATATGCAAGAAATCAGGAAGTATATCATCCACAAAGATTGGTCCTGAAAAAATTATTTGAAAACTTCATCTAACTAAGAAATATCTCAATATAAAGTAAAAACTTCATTTGGGAGGAATTAAAATGAAATTATTGATTTATTAATTATACATAGGAAAGCAGTGGTATGTGTGTGTGTGTGTGTGTGTGTGTGCGCGCGCGTGCGCGTGTGCGTGTGCGTGTGCGCGTGTGCGTGTGCGCGTGTGCGAGAGAGAGAGAGAGAGAGAGAGAGAGAGAGAGAGAGAGATTTTTAACTACAAAATACAGGTCCAGGAAAAGATTTATAATTACAGATAGAAGTAAATCTCACTGGTAAAAGTAAAAATGAATGTACTCCATCCAAATATCTAGGTGAAAAAAATAGATGGTGAGAAAACAAACAAACAAAAATGAGAAATGGGAAATGTAAAACAAGATAAAAGATGTAAAATCAAACACATCATTTATGATGAAAAATGTAAATAGGTTAAACACAAAGCATCTCAGTTTAGATTGAAAAGCAAAGCCAACTACATTCTATTTTCGAGATTTTCGAGAGACAACTTAAAGCCAAATGACTTAGGAAAGTTAAAAGTAAAGGTTGGAAAATTTATTTCAGGTCAACACAAATAACATGAAAATAGGACTGACACTCTTAACATCAGGCCAAATGGTATTGAAGACAAAATGTTTAAGCAGAATAAAGTGGGTAATTTCATAAGGATAAAAGTCATAATGAAGGTAATAGTTATAAACTTTTGTTAAGGGAATAGAATGATTAAAATACATAAAGCAAAAGCTTTGATTTTCTAGGAAATAAATGAACACTAGTATCAGTGTATTCCATCACAGAGCAAGTTAAAGCAAAAATACAAAACACCGAACCACTTGTAAGTGAAAATAAAAACACTCTTAAATAAACCCTTGGATCTATGAAGAAAGAAAAATGATCAGTATAGACTATTTAGAGTAAAATGGCCCCAAAACTTATGAGATGTGCCCAAAATGGAGGGACATATTTTGTCCTTAATAAGAAGACCTGATAACATAGAAATATTGACTCTTCCAAAATCGATATGTAAACACAATTAGAATTCTATTATTTTTTTTAAAAACTGGATAAAGAATTTCAAAGTTCATATGAAAGAATGAATATTTTAGAGTGCATAAAAAGTATGTAAAGTAAAAATACAGTGAGGGAAGGACTTGCCTTATACATGCTAAGTTTCAGTGTGAAGCTGCTACAATAAAACAGAATGGAGCTTTGCCACAGAACAAGAGATAGGATAGAGGATTCGGAAATAGATGCAAGTATATACAGGAACTTAGTATACAACAAAGGTGGGAAAATGATGACTTATTTAACACATGGTGCTGGCGCCACTGGCTACCCCTCAGGAATAAAATGAGATTGGATTAAATTCATACTTATTATCAAATGTTACATAGCTCTAGAAAGTATGACTTAGAACTATGTCGTTTGTCCCAGAAGAACAACTAGTGATGAAATGGGCATGGTATGAGCTAAAACATTTTAAAACCCAAGCCCCAAATCAAACAAACAACAAATCTACCATAAATGCATCTTATCAATAGGTGTTTGTGTGGTCAGGAAGAAAGGCGTGATAGGACCACATCACACATGAGTTGGATGAACATGAGTTATCTGGGAGTGGGGGTTACTGATATGTCTTTATCCATCTTCATGTTGGTTTCTCTGTGAAAGGAACACTTTTTTGTTCTGTGGTTTTGGGAAGACTAATAAAACATGTTTAGTGTCATCTAGTTGGTTGCTCTCTTGACTGTCAGATCTCCCCAGATGAGACCTTTGGGAGCCAGGGTCCAAAAAGAACAGGCCCTTGAAGAGCAGCTCTGCTGGTCAGGCCCATGCTAGGTGGGTGTCTGGGCAGGACGAGATCCCAGCTGGCCACGTGGGTTAGTGGAAGAGCTTGGGCTATGTTAGTCCTGCCTCTGCCACTTCCCATATACATGCTGGGAGAAGCGAGTTTCCCCTTTGAGTCCTGGTCTCAGTCCAGCAGGCGGAAGAGCCCCGATGCCAGCGTTGTCATGAAAACCACACTCCTTACCCAATGCTTCGCTGAGCCGCATCGGGGTCCTTGGCCTGCACTGAGCCGATCAGAGGTTTCTTCAGGTTCTCCCGCAGCTGGAAGTGGTAGAAGGGCTGCTGGAAGATGGGGGGCTCGTCCACATCCATGATGTTGATGATGACGCGGGCCTTGTTTCTGGCAGAGGTGCCACTTGGGTAGCGGAGGTTGATGGTGGGGTCCATGGCCTCGATGGTGAAGCTGTATTGCTGGACATGTTCATAGTCCAGGGGCTGTGGGAGGGAAAAGTATGGTGGGCATCTGCTCTGGGCCAAGCACATGGTGCGTGGTCTTCCCAGCAACCCTGCGAGGTAGTGCCCATTTTACGGATAAGGGGCCTGAGACCTGGAGAAGTGCTATTTCCAAGGTCATCAAGAGAGTGGCTGGACCTGGCTGTCCTCAGCTGTCCCCCATTGTATCTCAGCGGCCTCATGGCTGTAGCCCCACGCCTGGCTCTATGCCTGGCCCTGTTCCAAGTATTGGGGACAAAGAGGGATCAGCCCCAGTCCTGATCTCAAGGGGATCAAAGACTAGTGGTTCTAGCAACAGCAGCTCCTTAAGGATGAGCCTTTTCTTTATGCCTTTGCTCAAGATGTACCTCCTGCCCTGGCCTGCTTAGTACACGCCTACTCATCCCTCAAGAAGCCAATTCAGAGATAATCAGATGTTCTCTCAGAACCCATCCCTGTCCCTCCTGACACAGGAAATTGTCCCTGCATGGGTCGCTGTAGCACTTACACCCGGCTCTCCTCTCTGTCTTTGTGTGTCTTCACTGCTTGCTGACAGCTTCAGTAATGTGGAGGCTATCTGACTCCCCTGGGATCTTCAGTCCCCAGTGCAGGGCTGCCCAGAGACGGACTCATGAGGGGTCTGCTGGAGGCCTGGCTTGGGCAGAGGGGTTCTGGAGAAACCCATCTGAGGAGGGTCGTCCCTGGCCCAGGACCTCCAGTCCTCTGCATGGCCATTCTGGAGGCATTTTGTGCCCCTGGCAGGACCTTCCCTTCCCTTGCAGATTCAGTTGGTCTGACTGCTGTCAGCAACACCCACTGCCAATGGCCACCCACATCCCCACAGCATTCACTGTTTCCTTATGTGCTGATATAGCTTTCTGCTGCAAGCAGCTGTAACTCGACCAGGGCTCTAGTGCCCAGTGCCCAGGGCAGGCCGGAAAGTGCCAGGGAGTGAACGCCCCCAGGAGCAGCCCTCAGTCCATGCCACAGCTCCCTCACCCTCAGCTGCTGCAACTCTGAGGCAGTTGTCCCCGAGATATCCCCTGCGGGACTGGGGCTTCATTGCCTCCAGTGATAACCTGCTCACTGAGGAGCCCCATAATAGCTCCCTCCTTTTCACATGTCACTGCTCCTGGGGCATCCTGGGATCACCTCCCAAATAAGCTATTTACACCCAAATTCTTGCCTCAAGGTCTGCTTCGTGGGTAACCCAGCCTAAGGCACCAACTCTTCTCTCCTGGCTCTCCTGTCCCAGCTCCAGGGTCACCATCTCCATCAGCACATGACCAGCTCTGAGCTGACCCAGACATACACCTCTGATAACCGCTGACCTGGGAGCAGTCCCTGGGCGAGTCCTGCAGATGCTGGGAGCCCCCAACCCCACGTCTGAGGTCGTTGCCCCAGACCTACAAACCTTCATGGGCTTGATGATGCCCTCATTGTGCGTGGGGTCTGTCTCGATGGTGAAGGTGTCCCTGTACTCGCCCTGCACGATGCTGTACTTGGTCATCCGGTTCTGGGGCTCGTCTGGGTCCTCAACAAACAGAGAGCCCAGGGAGCTGCCCACACGGATGTCTTCGGGCACCGCAAATGTGTACTTGGCTGATGCAAATAGAGTGCCCCGAAGGGCATTAGGTTAATGAGATAGACACGGTCATTGTCCCCCATGCTATCCTAATATATTCTGATACAGGAAATGGACATGATAAAATAATAATAGTAGTGATGGCACTGGAATTTTGCGTCCCAAGGCAAAGGGGTTCTGCTCTGTCTGTCCTATCCCTCTATCCGTCCAACAAGTAGTTATTGAGCACCTACTGTAGACCAGGTACTTTGCTAAGGGACCTATCAATTGACAGGAGAGCTTATGCCATATACAGTGAGGTCACTTCAGGAAAACTGGCTTGTCCTTGGGGTTAGCGCAGACTCTGAATTATGCCTCAGTGTTGGACAGTGCAAGTGATAAGCCATCTGACGTCCTCCCCAGCCCCTTCCAGGGCATGTGAAAAGCTCCTGTCAGACTTTTGTTGGGGAGAATCAGTCTGTGGGTGGGGTCAGGGCCCCATGACAGTGGGCAGCGGGACAGCCTTGGGAGTGTGTGCAGGGATGGGGAACAGGGCCCCACCCTGAACCAAAATGACTTCCCTGGGCCTTAGGCCCACCCTGAGGTTGGGGGAGAGAGAGAGGGACTCGGGGTTCCTCCCTGAGAGCTCCCCAGGACACTGGGTCGGGAGCATCCCAACCCCAACCCCTGCCCGGGGCCCCAGGGGAGGTGCTCACTCTGGGTGAAGATGGGGAAGTTGTCGTTGATGTCCAGCAGAGTGATCAGCACAGTGGCCGTGCCCGACTCCCCACGGAGGCCCTGGGCGTCTCGTGCTTCCACCACCACCTCATACTTGGCCTGTGTCTCTCGGTCCAAGTTTTTGGTTGTTGTGAAAATGTGTCCTGTAAAAGTGTCCCGGCAGGAGCCATGTTACCCGGGGAACTTGTAGGAAATACTGATGCCTGAGCCCTCCCCAGAGAGCACCTGACTTAAAACCTCCCCAGGTGATTGCCTGTGCCTCCAGGGCTGAGAACCCCTGGGCAACCACCCGCTGCCTCCATGCCCTGCACTGCGAGGCCAAAGCTGCCCAAACTACTTGGTCCAATACTGGCCTTAGCCACCGGGAGCATTGTGCTGAGAAAGTGCGTGAGGCCACCTCTAAACTCAGAGTGGAAAGAGTGCTGTGATAGATTAGTGATGCCTGTCTTGGCGCCTTACAGGATGTGATGGTGTCCGGGCTGTGTATTTACCATCTCTCTGAGGAACAATGTGCCCCAGGTCTGGCCAATGGGACTTCTGTTTTGCTCTCAAGACTCAGTCCTTACAGTTTTTAAAGTCACATTGAATAGACAATTACTGTGGGTCGTGAGCTCTCCGTACATGGTCTAATTCAAACTTCACAGCTACTGTGCAATGTGAATATAAGCGTTCCCTTTTCTGGATTAGTTGACTTGCCTGAGGTCTTAGAGAGGGTGAGTAGGAGAGCTGGCTTTGGAAACCAGATCTGTCTGAATCCATGTCCAACATTTATTTATTTCTGCCACTTGGGTCCCGATTTTGTTCCCTGGACTGGAGTCCATGCCTTGGGCACCTGTCTGCTTCCTTCTGCCCTCACCAGCCACCTTGTCTTAATGTGTGACTGACCACCTCCATAGGACAGTGTGGTTCAGTGGTCAGTGATACCTGTCACACTGGACTTCCTCAGCACCTGTATGTGGGATATCTACCCCAGTCCCTCTAAGCCAGTGCCTGCCCAGGAGGGTTAGTCACACAGACCAGCTTTGTCGATGGCAAAATACTCGTCTCCTTTCAGGACTTGGTACATGACAGAGGCGTGGTCTGCTACTGTGGGGTCATCTGCGTCCACTGCTGTCAGACTGATTACCGAGGTCCCTGCAGAGAGAGAGTCCGGGGGTTACTGCCTTGTGACTGACTGCTGGCCCCTCATCCCATCCCCAGATGAGGGGCAATGGGGCACGGGCTGTTCCCTGAACACACCTCCCCCAGGTCCTGAGGGAGAAAAGGCTGTTTTGTTTTCAGAGGAGCCTCGCATGGGAGCAAAGTGCTGGAGGGGTGGAGGCCCAGCCTGGTCTGCCTTGAAGGGGGCAGAGAGAACGGGTGGTTTTCATTTCCGGGGAAATGGGGGAGGGGCAGGGGTTGGGTCATGAAGAGAAACCCAGGAGAGCGAGGGGCTGCTTCTTTCCTCTCCTGGAAGGCTGAAAACAAGGGATAGGAAGATGTCCCCAAAGGGGCAGGTGTCACAGCGCTTTTCCCCTTGCACTTAGGATCCTCATACTGAACAGGAAGATCTGGTCCTAGGGTTTTGGCCCAGGATCCTGGACGAAGCGGTGGGGAAGGGAGTCCTTTTCTGGCTCCTCCTGGAGGCTGGCGATAGAATTGAGGAAGAAATAGAAACCTCTGGAAACCTGGGGTCCATGCTGGTGACACACCCTGGGGTGAAGGCTCTAGTCCTCCCCCCTCTACTCCTGCATGGATTGTAGAGGTGACTCTTTTTGCCTTTGTGGAACAGGTGGCATTTCTTCATGTGCAAAAGCTATGCTCTTGGTGTGCCAGTCCTGAGAGTCAGAGCAGTGGGCAGGGTTTGCTCTAAAGAATAACCGACATGTGTGTCTCTGATGGTTAAGGCTCTGTTCAGGATCAGGGTCAGGGCTCAGTCTAATGACTAGGGCTAGCGCTCAGTCTATAATCAGGATCAGGGATCAGTCTAGGGATCAGATGACTAGGGTCAGGGCTCAGTTTGGGGCCAAGTGAGAGAGCTTAGTCTGTGGACCAGCGTTTCTTCCAAGCCATATAAAATGGCAATATAGGCAATACAGTCACTGCTCTGAGCTCTCTGAATCCTGGCCCAGGCAGTGGAGTTGGCTGATGGAGAGATGCCTTCAGGCTGGGGATGAGGGAGGGAAGTGGGAAGAGGGACAGACTGGGAACATACCCACAGCCGACATCTCGGGCACAGATGCGTTGAAAATCCGGTGTGTGAACACGGGCCAGTTGTCATTCACATCGTGAACTTTGATGGTAAAGCTGGAAGGAGATTCCAGGTTCTTCTGGGTGTCCTTGTCCACCACGAGGGCAACCAGGTGGTACTCAGAGATCTTCTCCCTGTCTAGCCTCTCAAAGGCATACACGTCGCCTGTGTCCTCCTTGACCCGGAAGACTTTGTCAGCAGACTCTCCTTTGAGCAGGTACTTGGCGTTCTTACTGTTTACACTCGATTTGATCTAGGAAAGAAGAACTGTTGTGAGCTGGGGACGGGCAGTGGTGGCCGTGTGCGTGTGCATGCACATGTGAGTGTGCAAGTATATGTGTGTAGGTGTGTCTATGTGTATGTACATGTGTATGTGTATGTACACACACATGCTTGTGAACACGTGTGTATATGTATATGTGGTGCTGGCCAGGGATCTTAAATGTGACACTGTAATTTTTTTAATTGGCATACAATATTATATTAATTTCAGGCGTATAACATAGTGATTTGACATTTATATTCCTTATGATGTGATCCTCATGGGAAGTCTGGTCACTGTCACCATACAAACAATATGACTTTGACTATTTTCCCAATGCTATACATCTCATGACATTATTTATTTATAATTAGAAGTTTGTATCTCTTATTACCCTTCACCCTTTTCACCCATCCCCCCCACCACCCTCCGCTCTGGCAGCCATCAGTTTGTTCTCTGTATCTATGAGTTTGTTTCTGTTCTATTTGTTTTTTTTTTGTTTTTTTTAGATTCCACATATTAAGTGAAATCACATAGTATTTGTCACTTTGCAAAATAACCTCTAGGTCTGTCCATGTTGTTGCAAATGGCATGATTTCATTCTTTTTTATTGCTGAATAATATTCCATATATATATATATATATATGTATATTCCCATATATATATATATATCACATACCATATCTTCTTTATCTATTTGTTTATTAATGGACATTTAGGTTGCTTCTATATCTTGGCTACTATAAATAATGCTGCAATGAACATAGAGGTGCATACACATATGTCTTTTTGAATTAGTGTTTTGGATTTCTTCAGATACTCAGAAGTGTGTTTGCTGGGCCATAAGGTACTAGTTCTATTGTTAATTTTTTGAGGAACCTCCATACTGTTTTCCATAGTGATCGCGCCAATTTACATTCCCACTAACAGTGCACAAGGGTTCCCTTTTCTCCATATTCTCCCCGACACTTGTTATTTCTTGTCTTTTTTATACTAGCCATTCTGACAGGCGTGAGGTGATATCTCATTGTGGTTTTAATCTGCATTTCCCTGACGATTAGTGATGTTGTGCATCTTCTCATATGTTTATTGGATGAGAAAGAGTGGGTCTCAAGGCAGAAGACGGAGGGTCAAGAAGGGTGTGGTCAAACCCCACTAGGTCTGGGAATGTCCCTAGGGTTTAGCAGTGTGCAGTCGTTGGAGCCCATCAAGTGGGTGGTGGGGTGAGAAGCCAGATGACAGAGCGCAGGTAGAGAGGAGTCCGCAGGGTGAGGAAGTGGAGACAGGGAGTGAGGACTCTCACTTGGGTGGGCGGGGGGAGAGACAGGGCAGCAGGTGGAGGTGGTGGAGCATCCTGGAGCAGGGCTGTGGGATTCAGGGGGCAGGTGGGTTCATGAAGAGGTCCTAAGGCCTAATGGCTGGGTCGTATGATGAACAGTGAGGCCCTGTAACCCGTGGCCTGAGGGCACAGTACTCAAGGAGGAGGGACCGTCTGAGGCCCTGTGTGAGTTGCTCAGGGTTAGGATAGGATGGTAGTTTCAAACTTGTTCTGGGTAGGTGTGTTAGGATCCACGTTGGGGCGAGGGGTAACAAGGGGGAGTGAGGCAGCTTTGATGTATTTTATTGGAATTCTGAGTAAGATTTTATTTGAATATAAGTTTCTGTTTTCCTTCCCTCCAACTTTTCTTTTTTTTCTTTTATCTTTTTAAGATTTTATTGGGGAGTTGGGGAAGGGGAACAGTGTTGGGGAATTGGGGAAGGGGAACAGCCAAGTTGTTGTCCTTCAATCTTAGTTGTGGAGGGCGCAGCTAGCTCAGCTTCAAGTCCAGTCGCCATCTGGCTGCCCGTGAGCAGCTCACGGCCGCTCAGCTCAAGGTGCTGTGTTCAATCTTAGTTGTAGGTGGGCGTAGCCTACCATCCCATGCGGCTGTGGGAGTTGAACCGGAAACCTTGTTGCTAAGAGCGCACCCTCTAGCCACTGAGCAATCCTGCCACCTATTGGCAGCTCAGCAGCAGCTCAGCTCAGGTGCAGCTCACTGGCCCATGTGGGAATCGAACTGGTGACCCTGTTGCTCAGAGCTCACGCTCTTAGCCAACTGAGCCACTCGGCCGGCCCCCCTCCAATTTTTCTTAAATAAACTTTATTTTTTTAAGACTAGATTTAGATTTTTAGAAAAATTTAGAAGACAGTACAGAGAGTTCTCATACATCCTGATTCCAGTTTCCCTTGTTATTAACATCTTACATTAGTCTGGTACCTTTGTTATAGTTAATGGACCAATACTGATACATTATTATGACTGAAGTCTATGGTTTATGCAGATTTTTAAAGTTTTTACTTAATGTCCTTTCTCTGTTCTCGGATCTCATCCAGGACACCACATTACATCTAGTCATCATGTTTCTTTAAGTTCCTGTCAGCTGTGACAGTTTCTCAGACTTTCAGTGTTTTTGATGACCTTGACAGTTTTGAGATGTGCTGGTCAAGTATTTTGTGGGATGACCTTCTATTGGAATTTGTCTGATATTTTTCTCATAATTAGACTGAGGGTATGCATTCTGGGGAGCCCTCCTTTTAAAAAATGATCACTGTATTTGGACATGACGTCTTCATGCCAAAGCCATGCTGACCCGTATTTGTGGATTCAGAAGGCGGCTCAGGTCTCACTCCTATTGTTCAACCAGCTCTCTAAACAAAGGATCCTGGCTATGGTCTTGATAAACAGGGACTTCCTTCCCTCAGATGACGTCTTTGGAGCCGGGAGGTGATCCTTGGAGCCCAGTCCTTGCCTCCCCCAGGCACCTTTGTTTCTATGCAGGGTGGAGACAGCATGTGGCTCCTCTGTCCCCTGACCCCATGCCAGGTGCCGAGCGAACACTGTTGGCAGATGACGGCAGGCCTGACGCTCTTCCTGCTGCTTGAAGACCCTAGGGCAGGTCCTTCAAAGGTTGCTGTGTCAGGCTGAACGTGTTCCAGGGGGCCCCCCGAGTTCTGCTGATCCTCCCTGACTCACCTGGCTGATGTTCCTTGGGGCTGGTCATTTTCTACAGTGGCTTATTCATGGCACAGTTATCCCACTGGGAAGGATGTGGGTGGGTTGACAGCATTTTCCTCTATGACACACAGTTCATGTCTGGGTTGGGAGTCAGGGACCATACGCTTTACTGGGGCTAGGTTCTCCTAGGGCTCTGTCCTGGCCTCACTGTGTGACCCTGGGCAAGTGTCTTCCCTCCCGTTTGGCCATACTGAAGGATTTAAACTTCCTAGTCATTCTTGTGAGCTAGAGGAGTCTGTGGGCACAGCCAGCTGTCTGTGGGCGGAGCTGTGAGTGGAGATTGCCCCAGCTGCTGTGGCATTTCTGGGGCCAGACTGGAAACTCCCCCATCAAAGGGTTCTCTCCAGCCTGTTTCTCTGTGACCATAGGGCTCCTTTGTCACTGCTGTTCGTGGGGTTCTTGGCTGTATGCTAGCCCTCTAGCCTAGGGCTGGTACGCTGTTTGCATAAAGGGCCAGATAGTAAACATTTTCAACTTTGTGGGTCATATGGTCTTTGTCACAGCTACTCAAATCTGCCATTGTGGCATGAAATCAACCACGACAGTTTGTAAGTGCATGGGAGTGCTCTGTTCCAATAAAACTTTATTTACAAAACCAGGTGGTAGGCTGGTTCTGCCAGCCCCTATTTTAGACTATAAGCTCCACAAGAGTGGGGACCATGTCCGTCTCTTTGACCACTGTGGTCTTCCCAGAACCTAGCTTCGTGTTTGGCACCATACTTCCTGTCACCAGCACATTGATCTATTCTTTCTTTAGCCAATCATGTTTAGATTACAAGAAACTGACATGATGAGATTTTATGCACTTGGAAGAAAATTTTTTCCTCACTGAAAGCTCTCGAATTACCTAGCCCATCTACCTGTCACTGTGTGTGAAATTCTACCACTACAACCATTCTTTTGAATCAGAACAGCTGGTTTTGACATCAGTAACACTTTGACATGGTAGGACAGTTCAGTCGTCTCATATTAGCTCTAAGCTCTCGGAAGGTGACTGAGGTTGAACAAGTTTTAAAGAGGAAGGAAGTGGGGCTTGGAGGGCAGACACCTTGTTGTGGGTATCCTAGAAATCTGGGGAGTTGTGTGGGTGACAGAAAACTAGGGAGGGATTGTCTGAGAGAAAGGGTTTTCTGAGGAATTTCAAAGGCATAGACCAGGGTTGGCAAACTATGGCCTGGACAACTAGCTTTATCACCAGCACAATTTTGTAGAAGACTGCTTAGGTTTTCTGGACCTCTCAGATGGAAAAATTTAATGGCAGCCTTGGCTGGTTCTGCCCTAAGCCCTGAATCCCCAGGCCAGGCTGGCCTCCTCAGCCTGTGCTCAGGGTGGCCTTTCTACCAGTGATATTTGGTTCAAGGTCTGGGAGAAAACAAGCCATAGCATTTATATCACTTCCACCACCATCCCTGCCATGATCACCACCACCACCACTTACCTCTTCTCCTTCACCATCTATCAGCACTAGTATCACTACCACCACCACCACCACCTTCCCCTTCCTCATTATTAACACCATTATCACCACCACAACCGCCTTCTTCCCCTCCTCCTTATCACCATCATCATTATCACCACTACCACCTTCCTCTTCACCATCACCTTCATCACCACCATTATCATCATCACCATTGCTGCCACTGCCATGTCACCAGCACCATCACTGCCAACTTCCCCTTCCTTATCACCATGATCACCACCACTACTACCTTCCTCTTCCCCGTCATCATCATTACCACCATCATTATCATCATTATGACCCGTATCCTCTTCCCCACTACACTACCTTCCTCTTCTCCATCACCATCATCATCACCATTGATCATCGTCACCACCACCACCACCACCAGGTTCCCCTTCCTCCTCATCACCATCATTATCACCACCACATCTACCACTCCACCATCTATACCACCATTACTACCCCCTCACAACCAACCCCACCCCTACCACCTCCACAATATCTGTCGCCGTCTTTCCCACCATCGCTGTGGTCCGCCTGCTGCAGAGGCCTCTCCTGCTCTGGGCCTGAGCCTACCTTGCCCACATAATGGGGCAGTGAGGTGTTTTTCTCTTCATCGATGTGCATCTGGTTCCAAATCCAGTCTCTCTTCTGGCGCCGGAGGGTGGGTAGCATGCTGGGAGTGTCCAGTTGGGCAGGGTTAGCACCTGTGGCAGTTGCCACCAGCAGGCCTAGGCAGGTGCCCACTGCGGCCAGAAGCATCAGGAGCACATGCATTTTCCCCAAGAGGCACAGATCTGAGGAAAGAGAAGAGAGCCATCAGGGCATTTTGGTCACTGTGCTGGGACGCGAGCAGCTCCCAGGGACAACCGAGCTCCCCTTACCTGTTCATTCCTTCATCCTTCACCCTGTGCTGATACCAGCAGAACTAGACTCTGTCCCTGCCCCCAAAGAGCTCCCAGTCTGGGAGGGGAAGACAGGCATAGAAACAATTCCTACTTAAGTGTCACATGTGTGATGTGGAAGCAAGCGTAGGTGATAGGAGAGCCCAGAGCAGGGCGGCCGGGAAGGCTTCCTGGACGAGAGGGTGATGCTGGTGGTAGCTCCCAAATCCCTGTGAGGTTGGCAACCCGATATCGTTATTTTACACGTAAGAAAACCGACACACAAAGAGGTTAAGTTCACCTTGGAGCAAGTGGTGGGGCTGACAATGGATCCCAAGTGTCTGACCTCAATGGCTAACATTTATCGAGCACTTATCATTTGCCTGTCACTGCTCCAAGAACTTAATGGGTTATCTCACTTTAATCCTCCTAATAACCCTCGAGGTGGGTATAATTGTAACCCTCATTTTCCAGATGAGCTGAGGAAAAGAGAGGTTTAGTAACATTTCTGCGATCACTCAGACCATAAGCAGCAGTGCCAAGATTTGAACCAAGTCTGTCTGGTCCCAAAGTTCATGCTTTTTCCTACTGCTCTCTCTTGTCCTAGCAGCTGCTATGACATGGGATTTAAAGGCTCCTCCTGGGCCGGCCGAGTGGCGCGATGGTTAAGAACTCGCTTGGGACGCCAGAGGACCCCGGTTCAGATCCCACACATGAGGGCCAGTGATGCTGCCCTCTACAGCTAAGATGCTGAACAACAGCTCAACCTGGAGCTGGGCTGCCGTGAGTTGCCGGCGACGGCGTGAGCGGCCAGCAGCCGCAGTGAGCGGCCGTCCAGAAGCCGGCGACTGATGTGCCTCGCCCGGGAAGAGCGCAATGATGGTGCCAACTTGGGCCAGTGAAGCAACGTCCTCCACAACTAGACTGAAGAACAAAACGACAGCAACTTGTCTGTTCCCCTTCCCCCAATTCCCCAGCACTGTCCCCCCCCACCAATTCCCCAATAAAAATCTTAAAAAAAAAAAATAAAAAAAGAAAAATAAAGGCTCCTCCAAATAAACATGTCCTTTGGCCAGCCCTAGAGCCCCTGTGGCAATGTTGCTTTGATGTTGTCTTCAGAAGGCCTTAGGAAACTCAAATGTGTTAACCCAGAGGGTCAGGCCTCACCCCAGAACTCATGGAAGATTATCAGCTTAGGAGCTGTCACAAGAACGGGGTGGGTGGTGGGGGTTGAGAGGATGGGCTCACAATACTGGCTTTATCATCTTCAGGGCCCAGTGAAAAATTTAAATGTGCGGTCCTATGTACAAAGGTTATTAAGAATTTCAAGACAGTGACAGAACATGAAACCAGGCATGGGGGCCTTTTAAGCACAGGGCCCCTTGTGATTGCCCAGGTTCACCCTTGACGGCGGCCTTCAGGACATGGGATCAGCCCAGGTTGGGATCTGGGGTTCCCCATTGATGGGGGCTAGCTTCATCCTGAATTCCAGGGAGAAAAGGATTTTCCCCACTACCCCCCCCACTGTGGGTGGAGGCTTTGACCTTGGCTGTCACTGTACCCTCTTAGCCCCAACCCCTTCAGTCTACCCCTGCTGGGTCCCTGTGTCACTGACCTGTGGCCTGTGGGATGGTTCAGGGGAAGGAGGCAGGTGGGTGGGAGTGGGACCAGCGTTCCGGCCTGGAGAGATGAGGACTCACAGGGCGCTAGATAGGTCTCCTCCCCTGCCTGTCCCCTGCTTGGGCCCAGGGGAGAGGCTGGACTCATCACAGGACGTTTCCAAACTCTAGTCACATTTCCTCTGAGCCACTGGCGTCAGGCTGGCCTCACTGAGGGCTGAGGGTGTCTGCGCTGGGCCAGACTGGCCCCTGGGTCTGCTGATCTTAGCATCCATGGTTCCCATCCTGTGTCCTCTGCCACTGGCCCAGGAGGAAGTGGGTTCTTAGGGTTGGGATGGAGCACAGCAGGCCCCAGAATACAAGTGCCATGTGCCTGCAGGGAGGCCCTCCTGGCTCTGCGTCTCACTTTCCTCAGTCACAAATGTGGCGGTGGACATGGAAGAGACCTGGTTCCCCTTGAGGCAGGGCGTGGAAAGGGTAGTCATTCCAGGCGAGAGGCGAGCAGTGAACAGAGGCATTGGGAGGCTGGGAGTCCTGGCCAGGAAGCTGGTTCTGACTTAGGGGAGGCAGCAGGCGTGACCTCTGCCCCAGCCTTGCTGGGCCCAAGCCTGGTGGGTCATTTCCTTCTTTGCTTAGAAAGGAACTACAAATCTTAGTTCTTTCTTCCTCCCTCAAGTGAGAAGTGACTCGAAAATGAAAAAGTAAGAGAGAGAGAGAGAGAGAGAGAGAGAGAGAGAGAGAGACTTTGAAGGCCTCTGAGAAGGACAGGGTGCGAGCCCCGATGGGTAATGAGCAACTACTGTATGCCGGCATCCTCCACTGCAGCACAGCCTGGGGCTGTCAC